TATGTACAGCTCTCAGACAAAATTTATCCAAATAAAAATGCTTGTTACAACTTCAGTAACAGCTTAACTACATAGTTGTTAAAAGATAGCCTTATTAGATTTACATCCTACCTTATAAAGTTGAAGCTCCTACGGGCGCCAAACCTAATTTATTTTTCGAAGTAACAAAATTTAAGGAATAAGTAGTGTTATATGTATTTATGAATGTATGTGTATCTGCTTGCTTATGTAGGTAGCTTTTTTACAGACTCTAACTTAATTTGGCAGAAAACGAGGGCGAGTTCAAATCGAAGTTGTTTTTTTTTTATACAAAAACCCAACGTCATTCCGACTTCGATTTTTCTCAGCGAATCGAGTGCGATTCGAAGTTGGTATAGCGAACTCGAACAACTTTCAAAAATCAATATACGATTTATACGATTATTGTTGTAGAATGAAGTACATAAAATTCCACAAAAAATTTGGCGAATAATCTTGGATTTGCATTTGCAAATTTTATGCTTGCTATCATGGCAACATTTGCATTTTATTGTTGTGAATTTAGAAATGTAACAAAATCCTGAATAGCCCTATAGTTAAAACTTGTCAATATGCATATTTATCAGGAATGGAGAAGAAAAGGTATGATCAAAACTAAATATCGTTCCCGTGGTTTTGTTCCCAAGAACGCATCAAAACCAAAACTAAAATGAGTACGAAACTTTGGAGGGCGTTCCTAAAGAGAACGAATTGCGAACAATACTTTCGGTACCATTTCTAAGAAAACGAAACGGGAACAAAAGCCTGCGGAACATTTTGGAAAAGAACGCAACAGGAACAAAAGTCTAAGGAACTTTATTTCGAATAAAAGTTTGGGAAATAAAGTCTCAGGAACGTTCTCACATAGAACGAAACGGGAACAAACTCTGCAGTATTTGCGAAGAACGGAAGCGAGAACAAAATTTTTCACAAAGCAATCGTTAGTTTGAAATGTTTGAATATTAAAATTAATTAAAAAATAACTAAAAGATAACACAGGTTTACAAAAAAAAGTTTCTGCATATAGAACCACACCTGTATATCCCTATGTTATTCGACGCCCTGAATACGAATCAGAGGCTTCCATCAGGTCAGGTTCGAGATAATTTGAAGTCAAGTAGGAAAAAATTCATTTAATAGACCTTAAAATTCAATATAATCTGAATTTGACCTTGAGATAACCTTGGGAGGACCTCTAGATAATTATGAAGAATCAAGGGTCCCCATATTCGGATTCAGCGACAACAAAAATCTATGTATGTACATGAATTTTTATTTTGATCGAATACATTTTTTTTTCCCATATTTGAGGTTAAGGGACATCGGATCGCATTGACCGCCTCGAATACCATAGGGACATAGAGGATTGCTTCAATATGCAGAAACCTTTTTTTGTAAACCTAAGTAATTTTGCAAATTAAGTAAACGAAAGACTTAAGACACGAACTTTTCTTGTACAGAAAATAAAAAACTGTTCCATAAATGGACAGTTCACCCGAGTGATAATACGGTATTCAAATGAGGCGATTTTACAGACATCTTATAGTTGAAAGCAACTATCGCCTGGTGTGAACAGCCTTCCAACTAATCGCTTCCAATGAAGTTGGGTGGCAGCCAACTTTTGATTCAACTAATCGCCTCTGAAATGGCTTGGAAAATCGCCTCATGTGAACACCGTCTAAACGATCTGGATTTCTTCTGGCTTAGAAATAACAATCGTGGCTCTTACTGAAACAATTTCTCATCCCAATACGCCCCTCTCATTCTTAACGTTAAGTTCTCAAAACTTTTGTTCGCGTTCTGTTTTCTAGCAGAACCTTCCCCAGAATTTTGTTCTTATTTGATCCGCCTTGAAAACGTTCTCGATCATTTGTTCTCATTGCAAACGTTACCGAAAGCTTCGATTTCATTCTGTTCTTCTTGAGAAAGTTGCTGAGAGTTTTGTTCGCATTTTGTTCTTTACGGAAACCTTCCCGGACTTTTTGTTCTCGTTTAAACAGCTCGTAATACTTTTGTTCCCGTTTGGTTCTATTGTGAGAACGTTCTTGATATTAACGTTTTGTTCTCATGCAGAGCTAAACCAAAACTGGAACGCGTTCTCAGTCCCCTTCCTTTATTTTTACAAGCTTTTTCACCTTTATGAACCCGATGACAATGCAATATGAAAGATTAAATCATCCAATAGAGGGCACAGTAGTCGAGATATTTGAAAACCCCGATATGGTTCATATTTAGAATGTATATTACTTATATGAAAAGGAATAATTTCACAAAACTTTCGCTCGATAGGTGGCGCAGGAGTCGAGATACTAGGAAATCCGTATTTATGGTCCGATTTGTTTCATATTTAGAATGTATATTACTAAAATAGAAAGAAATAACTGCACAAAAATTAGGTAGTTCGGGGACGATTTTTTTATATTTTTTTTTACGAACCACTAGTAAAATTAATACACTAAAAACATATTAAACTACAAACAAAAACTAAACGAATTAAATTAAGTTATTTTTTACAATTGCATAAATTTTTAGCACCGGTTTGAATTTTCGATGGTACATCGTTTTTACGAGCCCACGGCGCTAATCGCTTTTGTGGTAAATTGTTCACCAGAACGAGTCAGAAGTCATTGGGCAAATTGGGAGGTAGAAAAGGTACGTAAAAACGTGATTTACCTTTGTTAGAGTCGACGCGCTGATTTTTATATATGTACATATGTTTTACTGAATACTGCGAAAAATCAATATCTAATATTGCCAGACACTTTCTGTTGACGGTAACACTCGCCAGACACGTTAAAGTTCGCGCTATCTATAGCTTTTATTTTTCTATTAAGTTTCACCAAACGCGTGCACACACGGCGTATGAGTATCATACATAATTTCTAGCTCATACTTCATACAAAATAATAAACGAATAATTGAAATGGATTTATCCGCTAGTGAATTATTACGAACTCAGCTGCCATCAGAAAGTGTCTGGCAATATTGAATTTTGATTTGTTAACAATATTCAGTAAAACATATATCTACATACTTTATGACGTACCTTTCCTAAATGCTACCACTGGCCGCCTATCCATGCAAGCAGATACACGTACATTTTTAAATACATATTTAGTACGTTCCAGAATGTCTACGATTGGCAGCTTTTGCAGGATTTAATCCAAAGTCGTTCCCTTACGCCACGTTCACATAAGGTTTATTAAAGGCGAAAACAGCTGTTCCTGTAAAACGTGTAAATCCTGCAAATCGTGATGTACGGGAACAGGCTAATGTATTTAACTACTTATTCCTTAAACTTTGTAACTTTGATCTTTGCTTTCTAAATTTTAGGTATATGAAAAATGATTGCCATAAACATATTACAACCACAAAATATTGCTTTAGCTTTTGCTGGAATATGAGTGATCTGTTAGGGCCGTATTCTCAAGTAGGTTTTAAAATTTATCTTCAGATTTTGTTCTGAAAAAAATATACGTGAAGAGCAGATACATTTAGAATCTACTTGAGAAAGCGATGCTAAGGTAAGCACACTCGGACATAATTTTTTCCGATCGACTAGTGAATGAAGTACTACAATGATTTTCTGTAAACGATACTGAATAAGACAATCGATTGCAGGACCACATACATACATATCTGTGTTCGTATGGAACAGTAGCTTATGTCGAAAGGCTGGCTTTAGTATAATGCGGCATTCCCTTTGTTCTTTAAACGACAACGAATTTTTTGATGAGACTTAATAAGAATATTGATTTGCTAGTATCGGAACTATTTTTTGCGCGTTTATTAGCCAAAAGTTCTTCAACGGCTCAGCGCCAATGAGTCATTCGCAATCGTATGCTGCGAATGCCAATTTATACTAAAGCCAGCCTTTCGATATAAGCTTCTTTTCCATACGAACACAGATATGTATGCAATTTTTCGTTGTTTTCGAAATAAATTCTCTTTTTAATGTAAAAAATTTGTTTACTTGACCTAAGTAGATTGTGTATTTGAGAAGGTAGTAGCTAATAAATATTTACGAAGTTCAAAACTATAAGAACAACATAAACACAATATTTCAAAACAAAATTATATGAAAATGTAAACTTCATCTTTCCAACTTGTCACCTATTTATAAGTGTTTACCACTTGTTACTGAGTACTTATCTTACGTTATAATGTTTTATGATCCATTAAATTTGTTTGATATCTATACTTTCTTTTCCCTATATCCTACTACGCGCGTGTCACCGTCATCACCGCTGTCTGCATTTTCACGTCTCTAAATCATCGCTGTTCATATGAAAATTCAGTTTGCGCATGCGCATTGGAACGCGCATGCTGACAGCAGTGCGCATGAATATGTGTTGTTTGGGTTTGCATTTTACCAGCCTCAGCGTAATCCTCACTCGAATCGTTCGTTGTCGTTTGTTCATATTCATACATATTACTACTACTACTATATACACTTTGACTGCCATATTGCGTGGTAGATTGTGAGGGTAGCTCAAAGTGTACCGTGGGTTGTGGTGACAGTTCGTAAATAGTCTCAGGTTCTACAGTAAATGTTAAACCACAGGAACAATGCTCCAACAAGGCTGCCGGTGGCGCTGTTTCGTTTTGCGCCAATGGCATTGAAAGCGGCAGCAATGGTGGTAGCGGTGGCGGTGTAACCAACGAGGATAAGGATGAGGACGCATGGACCACTGCCTGTTCGGTTATGGTAGCCACCGCACTCGCCGGTGGTGATGGTGAGGAGAGGCATTCATGGCAATAATGTGTGCTATGGTAATGATTGTAGCGACGATTTAGTGTATACGATGAATGCAGTTGAGATGCGTTTGATGGTAATGATAATGAAGTGGTTGTCGAATTTGTGGTAGGTGATTTACATTGCCGGCGTAATGTTTGGCCGGGTGAGAACGCAACATGTGACGCATGCGAGCGAAGCAAAGGTGGAGGTGGTGGTGGTGTTGGTGAGGGCGTTTGTGTGGTGGATGAAGTCTCAGTTTCAGTTTCGGTCGTTGTGGCCGATGGTAGCGGTAGAGGTGCTGCTGGGCGAAGCAGCGGTTGATGGCAGCGACATATTGCAACTCAAAAAGTGCCGCCATCATTGTGAGATTCACTGGCGCTAGCGTTGTCGCCACTTGCGGCGTCACTCTTCTTAGGTGTTATATAGTTATCACTAGCACCAAGACCGTTCTGTTGGTGACTTTGACTGTGATTGTGAGTTGAATGTTGTGATAAATGATTTGGGTGATTCAGTGCATGAGAATGATTTGATGCAGTATGATTTTGATTTTGAATTGTGTTTGGATTTGTTGAATGCTGCTCTTCAAGTGAAGAAGAGTCCGCGGTTGCGATAATATTCAATGACTTGGGAGGTATGGGAGGTGGCGGCGGCATTGGCAGATCGTCCATATCGAATGAGCTGGCCGAGTTTTCACGATGATTTATATTGAGCGTAGTGTTGATGGTGTAGGCGCTGTCCATGCTTCCATTCGATATCAAGCGGCAGTGGTCGCGATGATGCACGGTGCTCACTGAATTGGATGAAGACTCTTCACTGAGATTATTCAAATTATTAAGATCGTGCGAACTTGTTGTTGAGATGCCTGAATCTCGAAAATCATTTGGTCCATACCCGATCACATTAAGCTGCGCCGTCTCACCTACACTTGTTAGAGAGTGGGGAGCTTGATCCGCTTCAGGGTCGTCGAAGCTGATATCTACCACTGAATACTTCTGACCATGCTCATGCTGTTGTTGTTGCTGGTGATGGGCAGACAAAGGGCGCCGTGGCATTGAGCCAGCTGAGGGATACTGACTACTGCTGAAATCATTTATGGCACTAGGATTTGAAGCACGCTTGTCGGGCGTTATGCCACGCGGCGGTAGTGGAGGTGCGCTGGGTGAACCCACTTGATTGGCATTACGCTTAGGTGGCACTTCTGGGCCATCCATGGCAGGCATGAAATTCTGCGAACGCGGACGATTCGGTACAGGTGGTACTTTATCACGCGTGATTTCCGGTATACTCATGCTCTCATTGCTTAGCGTTTGGTATGAGTTGTGTATCAGCAGTGAATTGCCAGATTCGACTGGACGTAACGTGTCGCCCGGGCGTGTGTATATATCATCTTGCTCATATACTCCATAATAATTTGACGAGCCAGTATTTAAGCTGGGATTCCCCAGGCTCATTGTGCGTTTTTCGGTTGGCAGTGGTGGCAAGGGTGTATTAACTATGCTCTCCGAATGTTGGCGCTTCAGCCGGCCCAGACCTGATAAACTTTGTTTTAACTGCGAGAAGCGTTCAAGTAAACGATTATGTAGTGGCTGTACGTTGGGTGGCGCCAATGTGCCGTGTAGTTCCAAAGCCTGCTCGAGTACTTGTATTTGCTCTAATATGAGAGCCTTTAATTTTTGCACATTTGTTTGTTGGCCATGACCTTGTGGCGACTTCAGAAATTGTTCCGAGAAAAATGCCTCTTGATATTTGCTTATACCACCCATGACATTGGCATCGATTATGCCTTGTAAGCGCATCGAAAAGGGATTTATATTACGTTTTGGTTCAGTACGATACTGTACAATGAGATCCCATAATTCTTTGCCGACATTATTCATTGTCTCGCATGCAAACTCTACTGGGGTGATTTCATGTACTGACTTGTGTTTTACTTCGAACCAGCGCAAAATACCGGGGAGTTGATTGGATATTTCCAATTTGGTGCGTTCGATCCACAGCGATTTAAATTCGTTGTCCTTATCGATAGGACCTTTATAGATGGGGCGATCGTAGATGAAGCGTGTCACATCGTTGACCTTTAAGAAAAGGTTAAAAATTTGGCGTATACAAAATCTACGTGTAAGGTTATCGATTTTTAATTTTTTTTCGAAGGAATAAAACTACTGGCCAAAGTCAAAAAGGAGTTGTTAATAAATCCAAGTTTATATATATGTACCAAAGGGTGGTCCAAAAATATATGTATGTGAGAAAAGTAACGTCGAAATTTTAATACTCTCGAAAAAATATACCCGTTTTTTTTTAATAAAAAGTTATTTATAGGTCACGAGAAGCTGAAAAATAATACCAAATTGTTTATTTAAACATTTGTTATTAGCGTTTTTGAGGAATCCATAAAATATAGTAATATTAAAAAAAGGTCTGATAAATAATTGGGTATTATTTCTTGAAGTCCCCTGAAGAGATATTGCTGATTGATATAGATTTTCAAGGAAAGGATTATTTATATACCATTTCTATGGAAAATGGGTTTTTCCCCATATAAACTACATGGGTAGCTTTGAGCGCTTTAAGCGACCTCCAAATATTCTTTGATTTAAAGATAAAAGAGGTTTTTTTTTCGATATAGCACGATCCTAGGGGGTGAGAGCAATAAAATTCCGACTTTATGTGAACTAAAAGTTCTTCAAATTCATTCCCGTTTTTACTCACCTCATAGAATCTAGCAATTTTCTCCGGTACTGGCACCATTGCCGTCTTTAAGGCTTGCGCATCGCCAACTGGTCGTACATTACTAATTTGTATATATTGTTCTGCTGCAGTGAGAATCGAGTTATCTGGTGGACTATTGTTGGTTAAAATCTGTGCCGCAGGAAATTCGGTTTGTAAGCGTTGGGTGAAAGCACCTATACGTTCATACTCTAAGCCGCGATAGACGAATTGTTTGTTCTACAAAATTGATATAATATTTTGTTTAATATAAATTAAAAAGCAAAGATTTTGCAGAATGCTTAAACTCACCCTCACAAAAAGCGGAAAACCCAGTCCATAGAAACCAACACGAAAATACTCCGGTTCTGGGCGCAGTTGCGTTAGAATATTTTGGAAAAATTTTGCCTCGAGTATAAGTATCTCACTGAGTTTATTGTAATCGAAACGGCGTGTTTCATAGAGCAAAGCTAATTCTTTGCATAATGGAATGCCCTTTTCCCAACATTTTCCCTTGTCGAAATATTTCAAGATCTACAAAAGTGAAGTAATAAAGTTAAACAACATAAAGTAGACAACAAAAATAGAAGAATCCCAATTGATATCATTACCTCATGATAGAGTCGCTCTTTGCGCTGCCACTCTGGCTGGCCAGTATTATCGTTCGGTGCGAAACAGAGTGACTCACGATCCCAATTCAGCATATTAGCATAGAGTTTTAGCGTGTAACCAGCCTCAGTGTAATTTTCCGCTTGTAGATGTAAGTCGTGTAGTTTATAGATGTATCTGTACCAAATTATACATATGTAGGTGTTACGAATCCAGATTTGTGTATGAAAATAGCATAATAACTGAAAATCAACAACAAAATGTTCAAGCCTAAGGAGGAGTGGTGGGAGGCGTTTCGATTGTAGTTTGTTCTAGGCTTACATACTTGTATAGACCCGCAGCAAGATGGGCAGAATGATGTCTCCCAATTGGTCTATACTTACCGTACTTTTAGATATATCGTTGTCATTGTAAATATTTTTTTTAGACTAAGAGCCAGTTTGCAGTGGCCGTAAATGTCGCCTTCGGTGCTACCAACCACCATAACCACACAGCGACGATTAATGGGGTTCGCCGATATAAACGGGGTTAGGTCGCCAAAAAACAGCACTGGGAAAAAACCGAGTCATTCCGGTGTGTAGACGAAATTTTCATGCTGAGGCTGAAACAATTGGTTGCAGCGGGAGTAGCATATCTCACCAAGGTTCTTAAATTGTCAATGATCACTCTCTTATAAGTGGTCCCACTGCTGCAACCGGGGAAACCAGCCAACAACATGCTACTCTCGTACTTTATACACCACCTGACCTCAGGGAAGTATCAGCATGGTTTCCGTAAAGTGCTTAAAATAACAACAGCACTTAACGCCATAAACACTTATATAACTCGTGGCCTAAACCGCAACCGCCCCTGTAGCGTTGTACATATCAAAGGCATTTGACACCGTTATAATTTCACGCTACTAGAAGACATGGATGCTCTCCCACAGGGACTCAAACGGAGGTCGGCGAATTATATGAATGGTCCCAAGTCGTCAGTAATCTTCCGAGATCAAACCTCTAAACCTAGAAGAATTAAACAAGGGGTTCCGCAGGGGGATGTAAACTCCCCCCTACTGTTTTACTTCTATATCTCGAAGCGCCCTCAGCCACCGGAAGGAATTTCCCTGATCTCATGCACTGACAACAGTTCGATATTGGCATCTGGGAATGGAATTGATGACTTCTGTTGGAAAGTAAACGGCTATCTCTCTTAACTTTCTCGCTTCTTCACCGCAAGAAGTCTAATACTCTCCCCCCAACGAAATCAACGGCGACCCTCTTCACCACCTGGACGAAGGAAGTCAGGTTTCAACCAGGCCTTCACGTCGATGGCACACCAATTATATGTTATATGATAATTAAATATGCCGTTGTTGTTGTTGTTCTAGCGGCTTAAATACTTAGCCCTGCCTAGATCGGCTTGCCCATCAATCTTTCCCACCAATACTATTTAACTTCTAGATATCGAAGCTATCTCAGCTCTCTGTTGTATTACTCTGACAACCGCTTAGTATTGGCACAGGGAAATGGAACTATTGATGATATGCGTTACTTCCAAGCGGCTACCTCTCTAATCAACAGACCACATACATGGCCGATAGGTTCCAAATTATGCTGCGCCTGTTTAGTCACCTAGAACAGTAGGATGCAGTGAACAAAGTTATAGACCTGTAGGAGCCGACCTTCAGGCCGGAAAAAGAACTGCTCGAATGCTACCACAGGGCACAACTGACATCTCATATCTTTTAACTCGCCCCTTCATGTAACACCCTTGAACAGGGTCGTTTAATAAAAAAAAAGGAACATATTTGGGTCCGAGTGAAAATAGGTTTTTGTAAATTATAAGTATACATTCTTTTTAAAATATCGTATTTTTACTCACCTCAAGTACATCTCTTTGCGATTGATTTCATTTTTATAGAAATTCAATAAGTTCACTGTGCAAGACATTCGCTTGTCACGATTCTCCTCACCCTGCATTACGCTACGATAATCCAATAAACGCTCCAATAAACGCGTCACCGATGCTATAAAAGCGGTGCCAGCATCCTTCCAACTGGGATTCTCTGTTTGGACTTTTTCCAGTAAGCTGCGTAGGTAAGAATGATTCGCAACATAGTTACATACATACATATATAGTGATGAGTGATTTAAAAACTCATTATTGCCAAGAAGGAAAGTCCAAATATGTATTTATAAAGAAACTATAACAGCACAACAACAAAAGCTTTCAATTTATTGCAGATATACTAAGAAAAAGTTATTAATATACACAAGTATATGACTCGAATAAATTATACAGTGAAACTTCGATATAACGAACCTTGATAAACGAAAAACTCAATAACAAAATATTTGCTGAGTCCCCTGAAAAAACATCGTTGTTGCGAATTTTCCATACGGTAAAAAAGTAAAACAATTTCAAATTGATCAAATCTGGCAACGTTATTATCAATTATTTTGAGTTTAGTTTTGTCAGGAATAGGCTAACACCAGAATATAACATTTTCTTTGCGGTCACGTGGAGTCATTGGTTTGTGCGAACGATGTAGAGACAATGTCCCATTTAATATGCAGAATGTGCCATATTCTAGGCCGCCGGCAGTCGTAAACCCGAAACTATGTACACTAGAGTGGCCCAAAAATAGTAAAGTCGGAATTTTATTGCCGCCACCCCCTAGGATTGTTCTATACCAAAAAAATGTACCCATATTTTTTTTTTTTTAATCAAAAAATATTTAGGTAGTGCTCAAAGCGCTCAACGTTTTCCATGTATTTTATATGGGAAAAACAATTTTTCGTAGAAACTTCCAATATTAATATCCAGTTGTTTATTTAAAAGATTTTTATTGGTCACCCCATAGCATATTCTGGGGGGTTTGGCGGACCTATCAAATATAACTGCCATGAAAAAACGGCTTAAGAAATAATTGGGCATTATTATTGGGAATCTGATCGAAAAATATTGATTTTCAAGAATTCTACACCATTTCTACGAAAAGTTGTTTTTCCCGATATAAAATACATGGAAAACTTTGAGCGCTTTGGAAACTCCCAAATTTTTTTATATCAAAATAAAAAAATTGGGGTATATTTTTTCGGTAAAGAACAACCCTAGGGGGTGGCGGCATTAAAATTCAGATTTTACTTGTTCACATGCATTTTTGGGCCTCTCTAATGCACATGCATACATATAAGTATATTCAAATACTAACGACACAAAAATTATCTTTCTAATAAAGTAAATTTTCAGTAGTATTATTATTTGCTTCTATTTTTATTTCAATTCTTATAATGTTCTGCACCTCGGACAGTTAATACGAATGTTTGGAAAAACTCGAAAGAAATATTTTCGCGAAAGTAATACATAAATAGATATGTGAATATGTGTATGTTCTGGGTATGAGGGGGAGTGTAAAAATGATTTCTAGAAATATCTGAAGTTCAGCGTCTTCTACCAAGATTTTCTTTTATTCTACGGCAAAACACATAGGGCTGAACTGATAATATAAACTATGAAATTGGGCTTAATCGATTCGGTTGTTTTCAAGATTTACAGCTTCGAACACATTTTTATATATTTTTTTTTGTTTTTGGTTTAGTTATGTTTTTGTAGTAATTCGTTAAAATAATCAACAAAAATGTACAACGGTTAGTTTCTAATATGCAGAGGTTTCGTGGAAGGCAAGTATCCTCACTACAAATAAGAATAGTTTAAAAAATCGTTTTGAGCTTTAAAAGCTCTTTTCCATGTAAAAAAATCGATAACAAAAGACTCACAAGCTCGCCATTTCAATGCTTAGTTTAAATTCGCCATAACTCTGTTTCCACATGACATTTTTTAAATTACACAAATTTTTCTGTTCCAAAAATTAGTGATAATTCGATTAAAGAAATCTCCATATTTTACATAAGTAAATACATTAGAAAGAAAGGTTAATAAATAAAACAAACAACTGTAACATATCGGTTTAGCTTAATAATGTGAAAATCTACAATGAAATGATAGCAAATCAGAGGTAATAGACTACAACAACAAAACAAAACGATGACTGAGGTGAGATGAGATTTTTCACTTACACCAAGCTCAGATGTTCCCTTCGGTTGGTTGGTTGCATTTTGTGTTTGTTAATTGTATGCATATTTAACATATTTTTTAAGAGGCGATTTGTAGGCGATGAACAGACATTTAACATGATATGATTAGTACAAAATATGCAAATGTTTACATATATACAAACTGGTATAAGTACAAAAAATAGTTATTGTTAGGGATAAATAAACACATATACACATGAAACTATGCATAAATGTTAGAATTGAGCATTAGACTGGGGCAAGTCGGCGTGCACCAACTGATTTATGCACTTACATAAATATGCACATATTTATGTATACATATATTGTTCTGGATAACTGATGGTTACCCCAAAATTAGGCCCCTATTGCGAGTGTCGACTGGCAGTAGAATAGAAATTTGTCGATCGAGTCGATCATCTTTTATTTTGCTATTGTGTAACTTGATCGATAAAAATTTGTACTATTGTGAATGGTTGACAGAATTGTAAACAGCTGTTTGTTTGTTTGCATTTGTTTCTTGAGTATTTTATTTACATCATTTTTAAAATAATTGCTTTTATTATAAAATTTAAAAAATGGACACAGTTGAAATATGGTTTAGTGATGAGGAAGATGATGCGGAAGCTAATAGATTAGTAGAGTTGGCTAAAGCAAGGAGGGAATTGCGAGATTCGTCGGATCCCTTGGACTTGGAAGGTGTATGTACATGTGTGAGTTTTATGAATAGAAGTTGCGTTCCCGATGCTTCACGGTTTTTAGGCTGTACATGATTTGCAGGAAAAGCTGTTTTCCTCATTAATAAACTTTATGGAAGTTTAAGAAATACGGTACGGTTAAGTTTTTTGTACAATGATGTTGGGTTTTTATGTCCAAACGCGTGACCCGAGTTTAAAAACTTTAACATAACAACATAACAAGTGTATTGAAAGAATTCAACTTTAATTTAAAATAAAGATTTCAAATTTCCGAGCACTAGTCAATTAATAAATTATGCAGTTTTTTTGTATAAACTTTTGATGTTGGTTCTGCGCAAAAACACTGTGGATGGCGTAGCCGGAGTTATATGCACAAGAAATATTGTATATGTATCTTTTCCAATAGAAGCGGAGCTTCCTACCCTACTCTTTCCGGAAATTCCTTTGCCTATGTCTTCACTCTCCTGCATCAGTACGACCAACCGCGCCTTTTGTTGCTTATAATTTTTGATCTGTAATTCAGACACATACATGCATATGTATATTTCACAAGTTTTTACAACTTCCAGTTCAATTGACTTACTTTTTATCCATTATAGTACCACTTTCTTATGTAAATTTTATAAACGCAAACTCCAACGACTAAAAAACAGCAATAGAAGGATGAGCGATTAAAAAGTATTCACAGTCGCTAATTGAGCGACTAAGCGACACTCGCAATAGCATCGATAATCGATAATCGCTTAATAGTCGTTTATCTACTGCCAGTCGACATTCGCAATAGGGGTGTTAAACAAAGTTAGCAGGGTTAAGTTAAACATATTATTGAGAGACTTTAATTTGGAAGGAATAAAATTCCTCAACCTGAGTTATATTCATACATATGCGCATAATCCCATTCGGGTTAAGTTAAGCTCCAACCGAGACGATGCCGCGAATGTTTTCGAAGCATCAGAAAAAGGAATCATATGTGTTCTGTTGTCGGTGATGAATTGTATGGAAGGAAGAATCCTATTGTCTTGATATTGCATAGTGTGCTCCAATCACATATATATGTATGTAAATAAACTTACAGGATAAGAGAATGAAAGACGATTTTCGTTGGAGTAGAAAATTATTGAAAATAATGGAGCTTCCAAAAAAATTGTATTTTTCCTTTAGGCCTGGATGTACATGCTTCGTCGAATCGGCGACGCCAATTTTCAATTTGTCGAAACTGACCGAAAGCTGATACTATGATGATGTAATTTTTAAATACATATTACAGCCAAAAACCAGACACCTGAGAACAAAAGGTATGATCGAAACTAAATGTCGTTCCCGTAGTTTTATTCCCAATAACGTTTAAAAACGCAAACAAAATGAGAACAAAACCGTCCAGAGTATATTCCTAAGAACGAAAATGAGAAAAAACTGTGAAGAACGTTCTCAACGGAACGTTCTGGAAAAGAACAAAACGGGAACAAAAGTGTAAGGAACTTTCCCTCGAGGAACTTTCTGAATGAAACAGGAATTTTTGTCATAGCGTTCCATTTGTTTGAAATGTTTGAATATTAAAATTAATCAAAAAAGAATTGAAAGATAAATAAGCAATGAATTAGCAACAAGAGTTTACGGGATGTACATAGCTCAGTGGTTAACGCTTCTGACTTTGAATATCGATTACGCAGGTTCGATCCCTGCTGAAGTCTAGAAAAAAGAAGTCTGATGAGGATATGTGGTGATCTCCGAAATAGCTGCTATAACTTCTACCGCTTAGACTTCGTTGCTTTTTTAATTTTTCCTAATAAACAATCGTGGTACAAAGCTCAATAAAAATGTTAAAAATAATTAAGCAAATTAAGCGAACGAAAGACTTAAGACACAAACTTTTCTTGAAAAAATTTAAAAAATTTCCATGGAAATTTCCAGATCGTTTATCTTTATCAGGGTAAACTGCCCGTTTATCTCCTCAAAACTTTTGTTCTCCAGCAAACCGTTCCTCAGACTTTTGTTCTTATTTAACCCTCCTTCTAAGCGTTCTCGATACTTTCGTTCTCATTTGTATCTCATTGAAAATGTTCCTGAAAGTTTCGTGCTCATTCTGTTCTTCTTGAGAACGTTCTCTAGAGTTTTGTTCGCATTTTGTTTTTTACGGAGGCGGAACTTTTCTCTTCATTGTAAGTAAATTAGCTTTAAAGCTATCATGCGTACGAAATGCGGAGCTTGAAATTAATGCAATTGGGCCATTTATAACTGTTTCAATTACCTAGAACAAAACTTACAACAGGCTAATAGAAACTGAAAAAATGGCAGATCATGTAACCCTGCGATCTTTTTATCCAACTATTTACTTTTATAATTTAGGAAATTCTAAGAAAAAAAAATGGGGGAAAAAAACTACATAAGTACATACATGAGTAATATTTTTTCAGTGCTTTATATTTACATAGAAGTATGAATCTTTTTTACCCTTCTGCTCGGCGTTGGGAAATTGTAAAAAACAAGAAATTTCTGTTACCAAATCTTTTTCTGAATCTGATATTTGCTTACCCCAGCCTAATGACCGTGCCAGTTGAAGTAATTTATGTTAAATAATATTGATTTATTAAAAAACTTACATTGTGCTGAAAAGTTCACGGTACTCATCGTCGCCCTTGTTTTCGCTGATTAGCAAATCCAATTTATCGATAAGTTCACTCTCCACTAACCGAAAGGAACCACGTGCACTCTGAAATAATATTTTCTAAATGTAATATACTTAACATAGTAAATTAATTAAAAAAAAGTTCTTACTTGCTCGCACTGCATCATATCGTAGAAGACTGTCAAAGTTGCCTTCCTCAGCGCTGGCTCTGGCACGAGCGTTACTTCCAGGAACGGTCCCACCATTGAGGGTATAAAGTGCAACTTTTGTTCACCCAACTGTGACCACATGCTGAGTATTTGGAAACCCATTAGCACACGCATATCACCGTGCGTATTTAAAATCTTTCTGCGCTTTGGTTCGCGGTACTTTTCCAATTGCAGTGATGGTTGCGTTAGAAATGTAACAGCTAAACTAAAGTAAGACCACCAAAGTGGTGAATCGAAGGACTGCGGACCGAGAAAACGATAAACCAATGGCTTTGCGAATTCTTCCAATGCCTTGCGCAGCACATCGTTGCAAGCCAACTTCATGATCAACCAATCGGTTGGAAACACTTGCCAATCCTGTGAGAGCAGTTCCTCGAATACCAGTAATGACTTGCTAAGGAAATCTTTCAAATCACGTGGATCTTTATTGGGACTCAACTCGTCCCAGTAGTGTTTGTAATGCGTTTCATCGAGCAGCTGCAGCAGACCAAGTAGGCAGGCGACCAATTGTGGAAGCACAGCATGAGCACCTTCCATCATGATGCTTATGGTTTTGATGAGAATACCGAGGATGTTCTTACACAGCGAATCCAAGTCATGTTGCAATGTGTTTGTGACTTTTTCGCGCTGCTGGCGTTGCAGATCATATAGATGATTTAGAATTTCAGATATTATTTCAGCACAGAGTCGCAGCTCATCGCGGCGGCCCAAATGCATGCGCAGGTGTTTACAGGCGACTGATAGAACTACTGTGCGCGAGTCTGTAGGAGAGTGGGGAAATGAGACAGGGCATAAGCGGATTTAGGTACAATATATTTTAGTTTCTTTGTTTAATTGGAAATTAGTAAAATAAGTGCCTCTTTTTTCAGCAGATATTCCACAAAATACAGAAAACCAGAAATTAAAAACAATTTTTTTTAACAAGTTTTTTTTAGTGCCAAACAAAAATTGTGGCGGACACCACCTAACGGCAAAATTTTTTGTGGAGTTATTTCTTTCCATTCAAGTAAAGCGGACCATAAATAGGGATGTTCCAAATATCTCTACTCCTGTGGCACCTATCGGGAAACACTTTTTGTGGAGTTAGTCCTTTTCATTTAAGTAATATTCATTCCAAATATGAACTATATTGGACCATAAACTTGGGGTTTTCAAATATCTCGACACCTGCGTCACCTAGCAGCGACTTTGCCTTCGCGGACTACCGTGACTATATTGGCTTTAACAAAGGTAATGGGGTCGTCTGCACGAAATACACAGGCAAAAACTGTTGCCGCCCTACCTATTCCTATCGAAGTACGTGTTGTACCACCTACTTTCCACAACGTGGTACTGGTACAAGCTGCTACTGTTCGCTTCATGCCCGGATTGTGCAAGATCGCTGCATGTTCAGCCACCTTGCTTTTACGACAGGTTGATGCGGGGGATCACCGCATAAGGGATCTCAATTTGGTAAATCAAAATAATCGGACAAAATTGGCAAAGCACGTTAAGACCAGTAACTTAGTGCTTGGTGCAAGTAAGCTTTGGTCTATGGTCAATTATTTGTTCAACGCGACGAGGTAGTGTATCTACTACATTCAGTAAGTGTACTTCGTCGGACCCAAAGAAGTACATGAACTATTTTAGCCGGAAATTCGCACTACACCCTTCGGCAGAAATCGCTAAACTGTGAAACACTAGTGTGCCATTTGCTTTCACCAACAACGAAGTTCTGTTGGTCATCGGGATGACTAGATCGTCCAAAGCCATTAGTCGGGCCGGTCTTAGCACCATCAACCTGTGTAAATATCTGTACAGTGGAATATATGTAGGTAAGGTAGTATCACTACAAAAACCCGGGAACAATGCCAACCTTGAGAAGTCATCTCGCTCGATATCTCTCATTTTTGCAGTAGTGAAGCTAATTCAGGTGATTCACACTACATTATCAGACATCAACATGGCTACCACAAATTATTTTCCAAGTCCAGACGAATTGAATAGGTGGTTTCTTCCCCATTATATTTAATTTCTACTTCATTTTGACGAAAAAGTGGACTCGGTTAAACTCTGTCGGTATACAATTTCGGACAGAAATTTATAGGCCTTTCAATGGACCAAAAAAATCCTGTTAGAGTCGCTTTTCATATTTTCTTTATCGCCGTATCCTATTAAATATTAGGTCTATTCATGTATTTTCCAATAAAAAATTTTGTAGTAACTTTATTTTCGGTTCGCCGTTAATAAACCTAATGAAAGGTGTCGTACGAGAATAGCTCCCTGTAAAATCTGGCAAATCGTTAAGTACCTGGAACAGGCTTCAGAGAAAACTATCCGAAAAAGTACGTGATCGCAGAACCATTAACATGTGATTATTTTTAATTTTTTTCGCAGCAATTTCTTCATAAAAATAGTATGTCCTATATTATCAGTATTTAAAATATAGTGTTCATCATAACTATATAGGAAGCTCGAAGTAGCTAGGACTTACCGCTGATATTTGGCCATTTTTTTGTTGAAGATGTCAGTCATTTTATTCCATACGAACCACATACATACATATTTATGTATGTATGTTCGACGATTTTTTTATATGTCAAAAACTAGCAACACCCTCCACAAAAAATTGCAAAAAATCAACGGCAAATCCCAGCTGCTTCAAACTTGCACTCTATTATACTAAAAAAGAATGGGCTACAAAATTGCATACTCAAAATATTTTTAAGAAATCAAATTAAAAAGTTCAACATTTTTATGAAAGGGTGTTAATTTTTTTGATATATAGAAAATTTCACCAACGAAACTTCCAAATTAAGTTTAAAATTTGAGCTTCGTTAAAATCTTAAATATTACGCCCAGACCATGGCTTTCGTGATCGAATGGAACTCGATTTGAAAATTCATTTTGAGATTACGGCACTCGATAGCGAATCCGCCTCAATTTAAATTATATTGGAGAGAAAAGAGCTTTCATTTTATTTCATTCGATTCGAAACAAGTAATCATTCGATCGCGAATGTCGTGATTCCGTTTCTGGTAAATGCTAAGACATTACGTCTGCGGAAGTGTTAAGTATGTATGTACATATTTAGTTTATGGAGGCATACTTACCATCCTCGTGAAACAGTTCACCGGACACTAGATCCTTAACAGCATTCAATTTCGCCTGTATCAGCCGCACAGGTGCATCTCTCGGTATGGCATCTAGCATATTTCGCGCCAACATACCCAATTCAGGCGCCGGTAATGTATCCTTTAATTGTTCCAGCACCACACCCGTAGAGTTCAACAGCGCCTCTTGAGTTGGTATGATCACATCATAGGATGGCACTGCCAACATACCATTAAGAGCTGTAAAGAGCGAATGCAAATCTCTACGGAAAGAGTCCTCATATTGGCCCCCAGTAGCACGCGCAAACAACTTTCGTGATTGTATCAGCAATTTGAAAATATATTCTAATGAACTGAAACATTTCTGGAATGGATCAGGATGTTCGGCTTTGGTCATAAAAACCGCCATATGCTCCACTGATGTAATTAGTCCCTTATAAACGAGCGCAGCGGCGAAATGATTTTCAATATAGGCATTCATTACAGGTCGAAAATGTTGGAACTTATTGCTTTGCAATACGCTGAAAATGCTGACAAGCACATGGAACACCAGACCTGAATGCTCTGTGCTATTGCCCTCTTCGTTGGAGAACATGGCAAATAGTGCGTCGAGCACATCCTGCAAAAATTTAACCAGCTCCTCATCGTTTAGTCGCAGAACGCCCGTAAGGGAATCTTGTATAGTTTCGGGATTTGTGCGCCATTGAAGCAGCGAGAGAAGATCAGCATTTTGCGTCAGCTTTGTTGAGCATAACAGCGATTTGATAACAAATACTTCTTTCGAGCTACGATGAAATATTGAACTACAATCCACTTTGGCGTGTGGATCCTTTGGTTTGCTAGGCAACTTTAGATAATTACCGGCATGCAGTTTGCCCGCATCCTCACACTTGTAAACGTACAACTCGTGTTGACCATCCGTTAGAGTGGCACCGCTAGGGTCCATTAGACGAGCAAAACTGAATCCGAAGAGTTTGGGATCCGATTTTTCGCGTGTGGAACAATGTCGAAATTCAAAACGTACATGCGCGGTGGAGAACTTATCGATTGGCACACTCAAGCGCAGCATTTCATTCCAACAGGGTGAGTTTTGATGATATAATATCATGGATTTATAATAGTTCTGCGGATCCATGCCGGAAGCGCCCCATAAACATTCGGTTAAAATAGTACCACCTGTATCGAGCACAACCACAGTTGTTAGGATATTTTTGGCAGTGTTCTTGCCGCCACGTTCGAATTCACCACGCTCCAAGGTGATGAAGAGATCGTTGCGCACGTCACCGGGCATAATGACATCGGGGAAGCCCATTTTGCGCGTGATTGTCGTGCCTTGAAAGAGTAGCGGTTGCTCTTGACGCGCCTGACCGAGTCCGCCATGCAGCAGTTTGAGCGATACTACGATGCCCTGTGTATTTTGATTGCCTGAGGTTATTGGCGAGAATTTGCCAGTTGATTTCTTAATTATTAATTCATGTAGTTGATGAAAGTCTTTTTCTTCGCATTGATATATCTACGTTTATTTAGGATTTGTGCGAAAAATAATTAGGAAAATGAAAGTAAATTAGATAAAATTGTATGGTTATATACATATGTATGTATCTACATTCATAGACAAATATATATGTAAGCATGTTAAGTGAAATACTAAAGAGAAATATGTAAGCCTAGAAGGAAGGAAATAAATGTACGTTTTGCGAGTAGTGCGTTTGCCGTAAAATTTTCGTATCCGAAAGGCGCCTGATCATCAACAGACTGGTTGAAAAGGAGAATTATAAAAGCTGGGATTGTTCTATACCGAAAACATTATACCCCTGTTTTTTTTAAATCAAAAAATATTTAGACGACGATCAAAGTTTGCTTTGCTCCCTTATCCAACTTGGAAAGGCAGAACAGACTTCGCGGTTTTTGTTACCGATGATGTCGATGTCATCAGTTCAGCGGTTCAGTTCTGCAGCTCTTATTATCTTCTCCAACATCAGAATAAAGAAGCTACATAAGAGGGAGTCGCCCCGTCTGAATCCCCGTTTTGTGGCGAACGGTTCGGAAAGTCTTTCCCAATTCTGACGGAGCTGGTGGTATTGCTCAACGTCATTTTACACAACCGTATCAGTTTGGCGGGGATGCCAAATTCAGACATAGAGGCGTATAGGCAACTCCTCTTAGTGCTGTCGAAAGCGGCTTTAAAATTGAAAAATATATAGCTTGTGAGTGTCGATCTTCTTCTCGCGGGTCTTTTCCAAGGTTTGGCGTATTGTGAATACTTGGTCTATAGTGGATTTGCCAGATCTAAAGCCACACTGATAAGGTCCAATCAGTTCATTAACGGTGGCCTTCAGTCTTTCGTACAAAACACTCGACAAGACCTTATAACCTATGCTTAGAAGGCTGATCCCGCGGTATTGGATTGGACAGAGAACACTTAAATTCCAGTCGTCGGGCATGCGTTCATCTAACCATATTGCTCGTCACCGTACTTGAATAGCTTAGCTGGCAGGCTGTCAGCTCCAGCAGCTTTGTTGTTTTCAGCCGCTTCTTGCTATTCGTCATGGTCAGGCGGTTGTATATCGAGTCCGTCATAATCGACTGCGGATTCGGGTTCTTCTTCGCCACAACTTTCCGTTCTGCTACCACTCAGTATGGTGGAGAAGTGTTCCCTCCATAATTTAAGTAACTAGGTCGCCATTCTTGTTCTTATAGTAGTACGGTGCATATTTTCGCTGCAACAAGATAGTTCCGAGTTGATGTTTTGACTTCGGAGTGTATGTCCAAAACGCTGGAAGTGTGCCTTCCGTCTATCACAACATGATCGATTCGGTTCCTTGTTTTTCGATCCGGAGACAGCTTGAACCTAATACTGCATACTACCATGTTTCGGGCCTCGGCGAAGTCAATCAGTCTCAGTCCGTTGTCAGACGTTTCGTCTTGGAGGCTGATTTTTTGGACGGTGGTTCCAAAGATCCCTTCCTTGCCTACCCTGGCATTGAAGTTGCCAAGCCCGATTTTGATATTATGGCGGGGCAGCGCCCGTACGTGCGCTCCAAGCGCTCATAGAAGAGATCCTTGGATACCTCATCTTTCTCTTCCGTCGGGACATGGGCGCAGATGAGCGAGATGTTGAAGAATCTCGCTTTGATGCGGATTGTGACTAGATGCCCGTCCACTGGGGTAAACGATAATACTCGGCGGTCTCTCTCCCACCATAAAACCAACACCGAATTTGCACTCCTTTACATGGCAGCTGTAGTAGACGTCGCAAGGCCCCAGTACATGTATGACGATGAGACATACATACCTACATACATATGTATCGACGAAGTTATCAATGCATAATATGTATTGCAACCAGAAATTCGTTTTTATACCCGAGCGCACTTGTGCACAAGGGTATATTAATTTTGTTCACATAACGGTTGTTTGTAACAGCCAAAACGAAACGAGATAGATATAGACCAATGTATACATAAATGATCAGGATGAAAAAAGAAATCGATTAAGCCATGTCTGTCTGTCCGTCCGTCTGTCCGTCTGTCCGTCCGTCCGTGTACACGATAACTCGAGCAAAAATTTAGATATCTCAACGAAATTTGGTATGTGGGTTTCCCTTAATCCAAGGTAGGTTGGTATTGAAAATGGGCGAAATCTGACTTTAACCACGCCCACTTCCCATATAACGGTAATTTCCAGAAATACGAAAACTGCGATATTTTAGTAACTACTGGAGATTATTCACTCAAAATTGATATTTATAATAAGTTTTAAACGAAAAATAAGAATATTATAAATTTTTGGAAAATGGGCGTAGCCACGCCCACTTATGGTTACATGCGTATATCTTGGTAACCGCTGCACCAATTTCTTCCAAACTTGGCACAGTTGTTGGCCTTGGTACAGCATAAAAAACCGCCGAAAACTTTTAAAATCGGACAATAACCACGCCCACATCCCATATAACGGTAATTTAGAGAAATACAAAATCTTCGATAAATCATTAAATATTGAAGCTAATTTATTCAAAGTTGATGCTTGCAACAATTCTTTACCAAGAAATACGTTTATGGTAAAATTTTGGAAAATGGGCGTGGCACCGCCCACTTATGATCACATATAAGTATATCGGTAACCGTTCTACGAATTTGTACCAAACTCGGTATGGTTATTGTACTTGCCACGTGTAAGCAAAACGTTGAAAATTATTGAAATCGGACTAAAATAACGGCCGATTCTCATATAACGGTAAATTTAAGAAATGCTTGAAACTTCAATATTTCGAAATTGAAGGACGCTAATTTACTCAAAATTGATACACCTCGGCTTACCATCTAGCGGAAGGTTTCGGAAGGGTGAAAAAGTATATATTTAATACTTGCGCCGGGTACTTAATGTTCGGCTCCGCCCGAACTTAGACTTTCTTACTTGTTTAAATATAAAATTATGATTATATGATTTTTTTTCATAGCGGAGTACACTAACCTTAAAATTAAATTCCTTCTCCTCTGTTTCGACAGAACTATCATAGTGAATAATTTCATTTAGTGGCAACACGCCCACACCAAAAGGACGACGATAAGTGGGACCCGTACAACAAAGGCTATTATTCTTCTCAACCTTTTTGCCCGTCTCTGACGGAATGATTTTCCCCACACGCATTACCACAGCCACTAAATGTAAATCTTCATTCAAATCCACAGCACCTGAAAACAGTTTTGATATACAAGTTACATACATACATGTAAAGTTTATACACAATGATCTTAATTTATTATGGAAATTTTTATCTTAACATACCTAAATCTGTGAATACCGTACAGTTGCTATGCAACTTTTCTATATAATTTGAGAAACCATCTTTTGATATTTTTACCAAAAAACGTTCTGATAGCGCGCGCATGCGCGATGGATTGGCATCGTATAGGAAGAAATATACCTCAGCGTCATCGCCACCAATACGGTGGCCAAAATCACGCATACAAAAGTATAAATGGTGTGTAAGTATTTTTCGCTGAACTTTGCGACGTAACGTACCGCGACTCTGCATGAAAAAAAAAAATGGATAAATTATATTGGTATTATTAAAAATTTATAAACTATACAAATGTTTGTCTTACCGATGATGCCTTTGCGTTATCTGCACTTGTCACATGCACGTTGTACAGACCCACAACTCCGATGTTATGCGGATCAACTGCTAATGGACCGATTCGTGGCACTTGATCCAAGCCAAGTTTTCTGCAAATAAACCAACAAAAAAACATGCGTTAGATTAAGTACTTATTTATTTAAGCATCCGCTTAATTTTTAGTGAAATCTATAGTATGCAAATATACAGTTATTTTCGAATTTCCATCAAACGCTGGCTTTTTATTAAAGGTCATATGTAATTTAATACTGAAATAATTATTTTTAATTTCTATTCGATGGTTAGTTAATAATCTGCCGACCCTTCCAAAAAGCTGGATTACGAAAGAAAATGAGCTAGGATCTTACTACTAAATTAAGGTAAAGATATATAGAAGTAAAAGCATATTTTTGTATTTGAAAACTGCAACGTAATCAACGATCGTTATAACCCCTTTTGGGCCAAATGAAAGAAACTTTTCATTGCACATATGCACATATGTATTGCTATAAGTAACACCTTTTTAGTGGTGGATAGGTTACTCTGGTTCTAAGAGCGCCGTTTATGCTACATAAACGCATTTTCTTCATGAAATTTTAATTATGCAGTTCTGGCAAAATAAATAACGACGCGACATTTTAACAAGTTCTGGTTATTAATATATTGGATATATTGATTATAATAAAAATAAAATAAAATATATTAAAATAAAATAAAATAAAAATAAATAAAATAAAAAAAATAAAATAAAGTAAAATAAAATAAAATAAAATAAAATAAAATAAAGTAAAATAAAATAAAGTAAAATAAAATAAAATAAAATAAAATAAAGTAAAATAAAATAAAATAAAATTAAATAAAATTAAATTAAATAAAATAAAATAAATGTAAGCTTGTATTACATATCTTAAAATTTGTACCAATTTTTTATTTTTTATTATTATTTTTTGCTGGCGGTGATATCTATGCATTTTCTTGCATATAAAAACAGTTCAAGAGATGCCATTAAACACAAAAATGTTTGCAGTTTTTCCATAGGGTTGCATTTTTAGACAAAGTTGTGTATTACAAAACTTGAGAAATGCTTTATTGAATTTTGAACCGAACCGAACCATTTTTTGAGTGGTTTTCGGTTTTGGCATTTTAAAATAAAAATGGTTCGGTTCAGGCAAAAAGCGACGGTTCGGTTCTAAACCGGTTTACAGCCCTGGTAAAAACTGTATAAAATATGTAATTTACAAAAATGCAGGGCCCAAACTTAATTTCACACTTCGATTTTTAAATATTTTTTTTATATAACGACAACAACAACGCATTTTACTATGTGCTTATGCACACTCAAGTTCAATGCAATGCAACACCAACACTTGGCTACAAAAATCGCATTCATTTCGATGTACATACATAGATCACCACTGCTAAATTCAACATTTGTATTGTCGACAATGATACAAAAGCGGGTTCACAACATCCCAAACAAGCAGCACACCAACCAATTCGGTGCAAGATCAATTCAGTACGATCGTGGGGCGATTGCTGTTGCTGTGTGGAGCTGTTTGTTGGCCAACTACCACAATACCAATACCATAACCATAAACACTACTCGCGCTCAAGCGGAACAAAAACGCGATCGGCATTCGTAGCGTAAGCGCTTACATACAGCAGCAGCAGAAGCAGGCTCGCTGTCGCTGTTGTGCTACACAGTGAGCTGCCGTTCTACGCTTACGTCGTCTACCTGGCTTACGCAAAGAAAGAGACGGCCAACAGGCCCAATGCTGACGATAGTAATGTGGTAGCGATGATGACGAAGATGAACGGCATGTGCACACATGGGGCGAAGGTGCAAAAGTTGCAAAAGCGAGGAAAGCTCGTGGTAGACGACGACCATTGTAGCAGCAAGAGCAACATCAGCAATGTATCGGTTAAGAAATGATAATGAGAAGCTGCGCGTGCGTGAAGCCCTCGCGGCTGATGATGGCTCTAACAAGGTAGAAATGTGCTAATCCCTGTAAATGCATATGTACATTAGGGGGGTCAAAAAAAAAAGAAGAGGAAAGTCGAAATTTTAATGCTCACACCCCCTAGGATTGTTCTATACTGAAAAAATATACACATTTTTTTTTTGTTTTGTATTTTATATGACGGAAAACAACTTTTTCGTAGAAACGGTAAAGAATTCTTGAAAATAAAAAATTTGTCCATAGGAAAACTCTGATTCTCTTCAGGAGACTTCAAATAATAATACCAAATTGTTTATTTAACCATTTTTGAATACTAAATTTTTTTTATTGGTTCCCCCATTGTATTTTCTGGGATTTTTGGCAGTTTTTGTAGGATCTATAAAATATATGTAGTTACTATAAGCAATGGTTAAATAAACAATTGTGTATTATTATTGGGAATCTCCTGACGAGAAACAGAGTTTTCCGATCGTAAAATATTGATTTTCATGAACTCTATACCACTTCTACGAAGTTGTTTTCCCCATATAAAAACATATCGTCACCTGAAATGCAAAAAGTCGTAATTTATAAAAAATGCAAAATTCACTTTTTGATTGCTATGATGGATTTCATCGAGTTACAACTCTCCACATCGTTTTATGAAAAAAAAATTAGTCATGACTTTTTCCATTTCAGTGACGATGATGTCGTTACGTTATTTTGCATTTAGGTGGCGATATGTACATGCAAAACTTTGAGCGCTTTGACCGACTTCTAATTATTGTTTGATTTCAAAATAAAAAAATAGAGGTATACATACATATTTTTTGGCGTAGAACAATTCCAGGGGGTGAGAGCATAAAAATTCCGACTTTACTTTTTCACATGCAATTCGGTCCACCCTAATGTACATACATACGTATACATATAATATGGCTGTAGGTGTGCTCTCCTGCATAGGCCGTCTCATGCAATTCATCACGTTCCCATTTAGGGTTTGCGAGTATTTTTCAAAAGCCCGGAATGTAGTCATAAATATTTGCTTTCATTTGTTTATTTTTTGTTTCTTTGCTCGTTGCTTAGTTGTATTTTCAAGAGTAGCTCGTTGTCTACTATTCAGAAAACGGTTATATCCGTACATATTGAGGTACTCTTGCGGAAAGTGTTGCCACTTGTCCAGCACAGGTATAACATATCGCGCGTTTAATAATATAGCGAAGTATTTAAAAATTTCATTTTTGTGAGAAAACGCAAAGTTGTATCAATTCAATTCAGTTCAGTTGGTATACAAAAAGACAGATGGAAAGACACACATTTTTGAAATATTTGGGAAGTTTGATTATCTGTTAAGACTGAACAAATTTTACTTATCAAGCTTATTAATTGCATAATGAAATCTGCAAAACGTAAATTTTGAGTTACATCTCTATATTATTAAAGGTGTGATATCATGCCAGTTAATTATACATGCATGCATATGTATGTACATACATAACTCATTAATTTTATGCGAGAACTCTGCCACCTTGGTACTCACTAAATTTTGTGGGAACAGGTTATAACTTCATTTCTCTGATATGTACTTAAATGAGTGTTACTGTGTGTGTGTGTTTGACGTTAGAGTTGCTTTCTGTAAGGTCAATGAGTCATTTATGCTTATAAATACATATTTACATACATGTAGTTACGAGATTTGTGTGGTAAACTTAGACTTCATGTGATATCGTTAAGAGTTGCCATGTGGCGTACATTAAATAGAAAGAAAGTTGACTTTTTAAAGCTTTTTTGATCGATTTTTCTCAGGCAGGACCACGGTGTTACAATTCGACAGTGCCTTTCATTATCGCAAAAGCCCTTGGATACACTCACAGGAATAAAATCGTGCTATCTAAACCATGGAAAGCTGTGATTATTTTGCACCCTTTGCAGGCTTTCGTAAAGACGTAAGACATCTTCCAATGAAATGTATAGAAAGATCACATGTAGGTACTATATGTATGAATGTACTTTGCAATAAATATTATTTGTTTTTGTTTAAATAAAATATGAAATTCGACAGTTTTTCTAAGAAACTTGGGGAGGTTTTCTAACTTAGCTGGCGCTACCGGAAAATCTGCTTAAAAAATTGCTTTTACATCTTTGAAGGACTTGGAATTGACCCGATACACTCCAGTTTGTCAATATCGATAATTCGATGAATTTAAAAAACCGTAAAATTCGATATCTCAACAAAATTTGACAA